CCCCAAAACCCCAAAACCCCAAAACCCCAAAACCCCATCATTTTTGACCCAAATTGACCAAAGTAAATTAATTATTTTGCAGAGAGCTACTTGGCATATCAAAGAAATGATGTCTTAGCTTACGAGACGCCTCCTTTGAGGTCTGTGGTCTCACTTGCAGAGGCTCATTTTCTTTATTGTCGTTCATATATTGTGCTTTGTTAACTTGATCTAGAGGTATTATTTGAATACATACTTCTAAATCTCTTCTTAGAAATTCTTTTTGTCTTCATTGATGAAACTGCTGTAGGAGTCTTATATTCTCTAGTTTCTCTTCTGGCCAACCCATCCTTTACCTGAGGAAAATTCGGGACATTAATCTTCTCAGGAGTATTCCCATAAGAGATATTACTGGTCAAGAAAGAATCTGATTTCTTCAAATTACTAATATCTCTTAATGGAGTTTTATTGTTCTTTTCCTGATTCTCAACTTTAGCATCTTTATTTGTACTGTTAAACCCAGTCGGAAGCTTAACGCTCTTTTCCAGGCCTTTATTAGTTAGATTGTAGAACTTCATGCAATGCTGGTCTACAAGCTTTCTGATATCATCTGCTTTAAGCAAAGGTTTTCTTGAAATTAGCCAAGAACTAATTTTATTTATAGTAATTATATTCAGGAATGTACTGAAGAAGGAGAGTCTTTAGCCCCTCGTTCTCTTCTTTCAGAGATTTCGAATTTTCATCATGAACTTTTGATAGAATCTCATACCTGATCTTCATCAAAGAGGGAGACATGGGAGCAACTTCTTGATGATCCTGCTGTTTGAACTGAAGCCTAAATTTATTTTAGAAAAATCCTTGTTCAATCTTGATTCCAATTCTTCATTCTTGGCCTTAGACTCTTCTGCCAAGGATTTATATTTATTAAGCTCAGACAGGAGAGCATAATCGCTAGGCTCTTACTTTACTTGAGGGTCTGTATCGTATCAGGATTTGGCTTGCTCATAGGCTCAAATGATTTCTTTGTTGTCTGCAAATTGCAATCAGATGTTTCATCTAATCTTATGTTTTTATGAACAGTTGTAAGCGGGCGATTTAGAAACTCTGTGTTAATATCTTTCTGGCTAGATGCTTGCTTTCCCATATCTTTTTGGTGAGGACTAAAAGTATCGAAAGCTCTTTCATCAATCTTAGGACTCCCATTGATGTCCTTCTGCATAGTGTCTCTAAGGAAATCTTCCATTTGTTGCTGAGGGATCGATCATTCAAATGGGATACTAACGTTGTCATACTCTTCATCAAAATCAAACTCCTGGTTATGTTTATCTCTCTCCTCGGTTTGAAAGATTTGACTATAAGCAAAGTTTCAGTCCCCAGGGTTGTTTTTATCAAATTGATTTGATTCAAGAATTATTTTTGATAAGCTCATGGAAGAAAGGCCGTTATTTTTAGACCATTGGCGGCTCATAAATTCGCTATCCCTTCTCCTACGCTTGATCCTGTTTCCCGTCTCAAAAGTTTTATGAGACTTGAGCTTTGTCAGCACAAGGTTGTAATTAAGCCATTCACAATACTTGTTATTTTTGTAGATCATTTTGGGGTTAAACACTCTCTGTTTGAATTTAATCTGGTTATACTCGATTTCAGAGCTACATACCTTATTTGTGGATATAGAAGAGAAGCCAGAAGTTCTTCTAATGGGCACACTTTGGGAGACTTATTTTATTTCAGCGAAATTATCTCATTTGAAGCTTAATGTAGGTGTACTGTTCTGACTATCTTTAGATACTCCGTTCATATCACTTGATACTACTATTGAAGTCTCCTTTGATCCACCCTCCTCGATGATAGTTTTTGAGGGACTCAGAAAATTGAAGAGATATTTTAGTTTTTCTTTGGACTTTACCTCTCCTCAAGAACTCTTGGAAGGAGACTCCTTTGAATCAATACTATTTATAAGCTGAGCTATCATATTCAATCTGAGGTCCCTCATCAGAGTTGTCATCACTCTGATCGTGAATAATTGTATTTATTGGGACCATCTGATCCTCTAAAAAGGCAGTCAGGTTATCATGATTCATTATGACATCTTCAATCCCGCTGAGATCTTCCATTGTTGGGAAATATTCTTCATCCAACCTTTTTTTGATTTTATCGCTTTCTTGATCTTTGAGATTGCTCTTCTATAAACTTGATTAAAATTACATACATTTGGCTCCATTTAAAAAAATTAATTAAACTTATCTTTTTGCTATTTATGGGGTTTTGGGGTTTTGGGGTTTTGGGG